AGTCACAACACTGCATCCGCCCCTGGTTGTGATATGGAGGAAGTGGTTGTGGGCGGTCATGAGTGGTGGGATAAGTTGCAAATTTGAAGAGAAATGGAGAAGAACCTTAAACAAAACTTAAAACAAAAGAAAGAAATGTATCTCTTGGACACGTGGCATAAAGACCATGTATCTTTAGTTTGCATTTGTCTTTCTCACGCGCTAGATGCATGTGCAATACACTGCTAGTGTCACGTCAGCTAATAAGGTGGAATTCCAAAAAGAAAAGGTGTATAATTGATAATATGATGATAGGTCGGGAGGATTTTATGCATTATCCATATATTGTATGTGTAAGAATTGGATTTCAAATAAAAAGAAGAAAATCAAATAATAAGACGTCCATTAAGAAAAGCGTTTACTCAAAAGCATATAAATTAATTTATACATCGGAATTACTATTTGAGAAAATTTAACCAAATATATCTGCTACAGTGTCATATAATAAAATATTACTATACTTTTTATAAAGTTACTAGAAACGGTTAATGCAGTTCTAAAATTAGTAGAAAATAATTAACTGTGCTTTCTATTGTCCTAAAAGAACTAAAGTAAAATATTAATCGAAACCTAATCCCTTTTATTTGAGAAATATTTTTAGAACAAATTATGAGGAAAATATTCAAAATAAATTCACTATTAAATGAGATGTAATATTAATAGAAACTCTACTTTTTTTTTCGCTCACTAAACTTTTGATATTCCCCTTATACGTGATAACCCTTTTTGGGGTAACTAACCTTTTTTTCTTTATTTTCTTTTCAATCAATAGATTTTTTACTTTTTTCGTTGTTGTTATATTCAAGGACTCAATGTGAAATTAAGACTTCTGAAGAGCGTCACTTTCAAGAGCATTTGATGGTAACTTTGAAGTACTGAATGGTGACATAGTGTGACAAAAAATAATTTTATTTGAATTATATTGTAAATTCTCATTCAAAAAAATTTAGAAGCAAATATATTTGTGCATTTTCTTGCATTGTTCTACTTGACTAAATTTTTATTGATATGGTATTAGAGCTTGATTTATATAAATAAGAATGTAATTCACCATTTCTCACAATTCTTCATATTTTTCAACAAAATTCACACAAAAAAAATATTTTTGTAATGTCATTTGAGTTCTTCCAGAAAACTACGCGAAGAGCGTATTCATTTACTTGTTAAACTAATAATTTAGAAAATAATTTTGTAAGATAAAATAATTTATGGAATGGAGCTTTGAAGCAACGGTAAAGTTGACTTTGTGTGACTTTCTAAAATAATTTCACTTGCATTAGGTTAGGCTGTCTATATCGCACCCAAAATAGTCATTAGTGCTGGATGCTTTGTGCACCGGGGCCGCCGTTTCAGAGGAAAAAGAATTTATGTTATACTAGATACACCATAAAAAAATAAACAAAAATATTTGCTTAATTTGGACGCCAGAATATCAACTGTTATTTATTTGGGACAGACTGCATTGATTCTCTTCTTGTTGGGCTAACAGCTGGGACATAATCTCCTTTCTCTCCATATTTTGTGCACGAAGAAGACGACTTAATTTCCAAGCTACGTGCTTCAATCTCTGTACTTCGTGTTTTTATTCAATTATCCACTCAATAAACAACAATATCTTGACTCTACTTGTTGAAAGTGAGTGTTAACGTGTTCCCTTCCTCTGTTCTTTCTTGTGTATGAACGCAATCTTCTAAGAATAAAGCTTAATGTTAAAATTTTTATTTTCTTTATTCATCATTTCTCCATATGGGTTTTGCGGAATCGAATTCAAATTCAAAACCCCCACATGTTAGTTATCAGTGATTGTTATATAAATTCTTGCAAAGCTTTCAACTTTGTGATCAATTTGCCCGTCATGGGACACTCTCACTCTCATTCTTCTCATTCTCACTCTCACTTTCACTCATCTAAATCTTCCGATGATCAAAATATGGATATGGGGGAATCGATCACCACCCAAACAGACGTTTCTTTCATGCTCGCTAAGCATGTTTTCTCCAAAGAAGTTAAGGGCGATTCCAACCTGGTGTTTTCTCCTCTCTCAATTCAAATAGTACTTGGCCTGATTGCGGCCGGTTCTAAGGGGCCAACTAAGGATCAGCTGCTCTGCTTCCTCAAGTCCAAATCCATTGATGAACTCAACTCTCTTTATTCTCATTTTGTCAGCGTCGTCTTTGTTGATGGCAGCCCCAATGGAGGTCCTCGTTTGTCTGTTGTTAATGGTGTTTGGATCGACCAAACACTGCCTTTTAAGCCTTCTTACAAAAAGGTTGTGGATAAAGTTTACAAAGCAGCTTCCAATTCTGTTGATTTTCAGTGCAAGGTTAGGCCTTTATTCGTTTGTTTCATTCAAATCTTGTTTCTTTTGTGCTGGGGTTTAATATTCTTTGTTCATGCTGACTGCTGAAAATTGGTTCTTTAACTAGTATAATTGACCCTGCATATTACTCTCATCATAAGCCCTCCAAATATATCATATAAAATGGATATACATATAGTAAACTGCAACTAATTAACTTGGGATTGAGGTATAAATGATTGATTGACCAATCTGACTTTAAAATAATGAAAAGTGTTAAACAATTAGGACAGAAGCTATATTGCTTAGCCTCAAGTAGTAACAAAACTAAATAATGTCAACGGTTGATACTCGTTTCACAGAATTGAGGCAGTTTAAAGAGTAAAAAGTATTGGTTGTTAATTTGAAAAGTAAGATGAAAGAGTCACAATTCATCTTCATCAATGCTTATTGTTTAGCAGGTTAGTTGACTAGTTCGACATTTTACTGAGTGGTAATAAGCTTCTTTTTTGTAGGTAGCTAAAGAAGCCTAAGTAGTTCTAAGCTCAACTGGATATGTGGCCGTGCTTAATTTTGTAAAACTTCAGTTTTTGGCCTAAATCTACACCCAATCAGTGCTTAAAATATACCATGTAAAGCATCCAAATTCTCACTTACCCCTTGCAAGTACTGTAATCAATCTTCTTACTGCAAACTCCCTTTGTTGGCTAAAGCATATACGTGTTAATTCTGTCGTATACTCTGTTTGTCTTGCTAATTGAATAAGGCTGCTGAGGTTGCCAATCAAGTCAATCAGTGGGCTAAAATGAAGACAAATAATCTCATTAAAGAGATTCTTCCTCATGGAACAGTAAACAATATGACAAGGCTCATCTTTGCAAATGCATTATATTTTAAAGGAGTATGGAATGACAAGTTCAATGCTTCAGAAACAAAAGACCATAAATTCCATCTCCTCAGTGGAGGGTCTATTAAAGCGCCGTTCATGACTAGCAAGAACAAGCAATATGCAGTAGCCTTTGATGGCTTCAAAGTGTTGGGACTTCATTACAAGCAAGGCAAAGATATGCGTCGTTTCTGCATGTATTTAATTTTGCCAGATGCTCGTGATGAATTACCAGCTCTATTGGACAAGATTAGTTCAGAACCTGGTTTTATAGATCATCACATTCCGTTTGAAAAAGCTAAAATGCGCAAGTTTCTTATCCCTAAATTCAAAACAACTTTTGGTTTTGAAGCTTCCAAGGTTCTAAAGGGACTTGGCCTCACATTGCCTTTCTCCAGTGGTGGCCTCACTGAGATGGTGGATTCCCCGTTAGCTGGGAGGTTGTTTGTTTCGCAGATTTTTCACAAGTCCTTCATTGAGGTAAATGAGGAAGGAACAGAAGCTGCAGCTGTTACAGCTAGTGTAATAATGACCAAGTCCTTGATAATTGAGAAGGAAATGGAGTTTGTTGCTGACCATCCATTTCTATTCCTTATAAGAGACGAATCTACCGGTGCTGTGTTTTTCATAGGGAGCGTGCTGAATCCTCTAGCTGGTTAGCCCACGGAAGCAACAAAGAAATCTGGAAGGAAAGAGATCTGAATCCGAATTATTGCATGAATAATATAAAGCTTAGTTTAACATGGCGAGATCTTATATTTGTAAAGAAGGATTGATCTATACTGGACAAGGATAAGTGTTATGTATATAAATAACCTGTTTCTTGATTTGTGTATCTGCTTGATGAGAAGTGTTATGTATCTAAATAATCAGTTTCCTGATTTGTGTATCTGTTTGATGAGATCTTGTACTTCATATCTGGCATCTTATATAATTGACTCGTCTTTGCTTGATTTTTTGTGCGTATTGTGACATGATATAGAGTTTAAGAGTAACTTAAAAGTTTACTATGGACTTGATTTATTTATGTCCACAACTTAGTTATCAATTATGACTGTTTTACTTATAAAACTAATGGTACCCATATTATGGTGTGTTGAGTAAAATTACATTTTTTGGTGCTGATAATGTTGAAAGCTGTTGAAATAGATAATTCAAATCAACTTTGGGCTGATGAAGAGAAGGGGAAAAAATAACAAGTCCTTACTAAACACTATACTGTAACTTTCTGAATACTAGCAAATTAAGATAATACTTTATTGTGACATTTTTTTCTCAATTTCTCATTCTTATCCGAAAAATTTAAACCATCTTTTGGTCTTACATTAATTTCTCTGAAGGCGGTGTCGGTGATATTGTGGCTTCCTTTCAAGCTTAAAACCTGTTAGTTTCAGACATTTTCATAAGTCCTTTGTTGAGGTAATGACCAAGGAATGGAAGCTGCAGGTGTTAATATTGCCTTGTCAATACTATTATGTTCGGTGCCCATTAATGAAATCTCGTCGACTTTATTACTTATTCTGTTCCTGTTCTTCATAAGGGCTGATACAACTGCAAGTCTGCAACTATATTATTCATAGGGAGCTTGTACTTATGTTGGCTCTGTAGCAGTAAGGAATTTGTCCTAAATAAGTGTATAAGGTAACATGTCATTTTCTCTTTCATGTACTCATTTTTTAGATATTATTTATATACCTTAACATCCACCTAAAAGCTGACTTGATCAAGACAACGTAATTACTAAAATGAAAAACTAACACTAGTCTGTTGAATAGTCACAATTTTACACGCTTCTAACACAACAGGTTGATAACTCCCAAGTCAACGCCAGGTGGACATTACATGCTCTGCTTGCCTTTTCCGTGTCATTTTGTTGTTGTTTCCCTCTAACAGCTTCCCTTCGTTTCCATCAATTACAATTAAATAATAGGTGCATTGAACTTCCTGTAGAATATAATATTGATTTTGTTGTGGAAAGACAATGCTACGTGTGTGTTCCTTTCTTCCGGCGTATGAATGTGATATTTAAAGATTGTTTCCTTATTCGATCGCCATTTCTCCAAATTCAAAACCCCACCTGTTAAGCAACAGTATAATATATAAATTCTTGCCTCCTCCTACTTCTTCTTTGCACGCATAGCGCAACTATGGATCTCAGGGAGTCAATCAACAACCAAACGGATGTTTCTTTCATGCTCGCTAAGCACATTTTCTCCAAAGAGGTTAAAGGCGATACCAACCTTGTGTTGTCTCCTCTCTCAATTCAAATTGTACTTGGCCTTATTGCTGCCGGATGTAAAGGACCAACGCAGGATCAGCTGCTCTGTTTCCTCAAGTCCAAATCGATTGATGAACTCAACTCTCTTTATTCTCATCTTGTCAATATCGTCTTTGTTGACGGCAGCTCCAGTGGAGGTCCTCGTTTGTCTGTTGCTAATGGTGTTTGGATCGACCAAACACTCCCTCTTAAGCCTTCTTTCAAGCAGGTTGTGGACAATGTTTACAAGGCTGCTTTAGAGTCTGTTGATTTTCAGAACAAGGTTAGTCCTTTTCTTTAACTAGTCTTACGGTAAACGGGATGCGCGTGTACTCATGTGTTGAATAAAAACTTCTTAAAACTGACATAAATATCATTTAAAAAATATATTTTGCGTGTAAGATATTAGGATTCACAATGTTAAATCTCAGTTTGCATTTTTGTTGTAGTATGTTTGTACTTTAACGAAATATTTTCAAAGTTTTAATTCCAGTCTTTTATTAATTATAGGTAAATATTAACTCATTAGTACTATTTAACTTGATATTGTTGGAATTGAAAATATGAAGGGTACGACATCTTTATTAATGAAGGATTTGGGAGATTGGCAGAATAAACGTGGTAAAGATTTTGTGATTTAGTTGTTAATTTTGGGTCGTTGGAGATTTTTCTTTATTTTAATAATTTATATATAAGGTAAAAGTTCATTTAATTTTAAAGTCCTAAATATTTTGACTTCATACAACAACAACAACAACGGCCCAGTACAATCCTACAATTGGGGTCTGGGGAGGGTAATATGTACGCAGACCTTACCCCTTCCCCAAGGGGCGGAGAGGCTGTTTCCAGGAGACCTTCGGCTCAAGAAAGCAACAAGAGAAGATATATTAGTATCATCAATAAACTCATAATAAAATAACAGTAATATAAGAAATACGAAATAGATGGATGACACAATAATAACCAGCAGATAAAGCCCTGCATCAGTAGATGACCAGTAGCAGCCAAAGACTAACTCTTAATTGGCTAGTCTCACTCTAGTGCGCTGTATAAATATTCACAACTTCCCCTAACCTACAACCTTAATGCTCGACCTCCATAATTCCCTGTCAAGGGCCATGTCCTCAGTAATCGTAAGTCGCGCCAAGTCCTGTCTGATCACCTCTCCCCAATACTTCTTAGGTTGCCCTCTACCTCTCCTCGTGCCCACCACAGCCAGCCGCTCATACCTCCTCACCGGTGCATCAGTGCTCCTCCTCTGAATGTGCCCGAACCATCTGAGTCTTGCTTCCCGCATCTTGTCCTCCATGGGGGCCACACCCATCTTTTGTCGAATATCTTCGTTCCTAATCTTGTCCATCCTTGTATGCCCACACATCCACCTCAACATCCTCATCTCTGCTACTTTCATCTTCTGGACGTGTGAGTTCTTAACCGGCCAACACTCAGTCCCATACAACATGGCCGGTCTAATCACTGCTCTATAAAACATACCTTTTAGTAACGGTGGCACTTTCTTGTCACACAGGACTCCCGACGCTAACCTCCACTTCATCCACCCTACCCCTATGCGGTGTGTGACATCCTCGTCGATCTCCCCAATCCCCTGAATAACCGACCCAAGGTACTTGAAACTACCCCTCTTGGGAATGACTTGAGAGTCCAGCCTCACTTTCACTCCCACTTCCGTCGGTTCGATCCCAAATTTGCACTCGAGGTATTCTGTCTTCGTCCTGCTCAACTTGAAACCTTTAGACTCAAGGGCATGTCTCCAAACCTCTAGCCTCTCGATGACGCCGCCTCGTGTCTCGTCAATTAGAACTATGTCATCAGCTAATAACATGCACTATGACACCTCCCCTTGAATATGATGAGTTAGTGCATCCATCAACAGGGCAAATAGGAAAGGGCTGAATGCAGACCCTTGGTGTAATCCCATAACAACTGGAAAATGCTCGGAGTCGCCTCATACTGTCCTAACCCGAGTCTTAGCTCCATCATACATGTCTTAATCACTCTAATGTATACTTATTTCAAAAAAGGAATAATTTAGTAAAAAATATTTTAGTTTTTTTCAAAGTCTTAAATATTAAGAAATAATCAAATGACTATTTTGTCTAGTGTGAACTCTATTTAAAAAAAAATAAAAACACGAATGATATTTCGTTAAAAGTAGGGTGTGCACTTTGCGTGTCTTCCCCTTGTCAATAAGTAGATAACTTCTTTAAATATTACATAAATAATATTAAATAATGTTTTGAGTTATAATAAAAATAAAATAAAATGTATAACTTTCTGAAAATATTTTTGTTGATCTCATATCCAGCGCAATGAAAGTCCTTGTAGTTTTATAAGAATATCTCATGATAATTATTGTTATTTTATGCATTGGTAATGATCAAATAATTAAAATTAATTACTTTTAT